AGAAACATAAAAAAAAAACGCATGACTTTCTATGAGGGTTAAAAAATATGGTCGACCGGCCGGCTTTTTATTTTTGATTTTTGAAAATTTAAGAACTACGAATAAAACAAAAAATTGACAAAGATGTGGGCGTGCAAACTACGAAAGGTTAAAAAGGACCATTCTGGTGAGAAATAGCTGGTGACAAAGCTCGTTTCTGTAGAACCGGCCAATTTTTATTCGACAATAAGTCCCGACATAAATCACTTTTGATGGTATCGATTCTACCATGTTACGAGTCTCGCTTCTGGCATGGAATTCGTTGTTATATACACAATTTTAATATATTATAAAAGTCACGATTTATAAATATATTATTTTTATTCCTTTCATTTCTATTGTTCAAAAATTTATTCTTTTTCTCCATCTTTGAAAAAACGTATATATTCAAACATGATGAGACAATAAAGTGATATTTGAAAATATTCGGACATGAGAGGAGTTGTAAGTGTATTCATTTGTATTTTAAGATAGTAAACGTTTGAATAGAATTTTAATTTTGAAATAGATTTCTTTTTTGTATATTTAATCTCTTTTAATATTTGGACACATAATATAATTTTAAATGTTAAAATTTTATAAAGACAAAGAAGAATCTATTCTCAAATAAAGTCCTCATGGTAAAGTTCAAAAATAAAATTAATTTTAATAAATAAAATAAAAAATGAAAGAAAAAAAATTATGTAAATAATGTTGCTCTAGTTTCCATTTCTACGATAATAAAATTTTATTTCTATATCTCTATATTCTATAAATATAATTTTAAGAATAAAATCGTTAAATTGGAAGAAAAAAGATATGAAAAATGAAAAAGAATGAATTTATAACTTAAATAAAATAAAATAAAATAAAACAATGAAAACAAAAATTGATCGATATTACAGAATGAAACGATATTTTAAAATTTAATTATAGCATCCATATCTAAATAAAATTTCCATTTCTATTTTAATACGTATGATTTTAAAAATAAAATGAATAAAACAAAAAAAAAAAAAGATAAAATTTGTACGATAACATCGTTTCCGTCATTCTTATCTCCACTTTTACTCTAATATCTCAATTATGCAATAACTTATATATAAAATAAAAATAAAATTGGAAGGGAAAAAAATAAAATAATATTTTTTAAAATCAGAGTTGAAGAACTCTATCCATTACAGATCTTTTAATAATAAAAAACAAAATACTGGAAGCATTTATATAATATTTCATTTTATTATTTGGCAATCATTATTTTGAAAATCTTGTTACGTTATAATCTCCAATATAAATAAAATCTCCATTTCAAATAATTTTTATATAATAATACAATTTTAAAAAATAAAATCCCTAAATTGAAGAAGGAAAACGAAAAATCCCGTAAATACATTTTCCTTGGCCACTCTCACGTCCTCAAATTATCTCCAAACTTCGAAAAGTTAAAAATAAAAATTCTTGGAAAAAAAAAAATTGGTCGATATAGAGTGGAACGAACGAGAATAGAGTTTAATAACATAACCTGTCCTCCATTTCCCTTGTTCCCTTCACAAAACATCGCGTTAATACGGTCTTCTCTTTTTCCTTCACCATCTTGCGCCTTCATCTCGTTTCCTTCCTTACCCCGTCACGGAGAAAAGATCCAAGAGCGTATTTCTCATATTTTATTCCTACAACCTCGCTCCTTTTTATTGCGGTTCGACTGAGAGCTGCGGGCTCATGTCAGACTGCGCACCCCGCAGTTTCAGCCACGCTTGCCAACCTTTGAAGAGTCCCTAGGAAAGAGAGAGAGAGAGAGAGAGAGAGAGAGAGAGAGAGA